CTGCAGGGTGGATGGGAGAGGGGGAGCTCAGTTCCCCTCGGGTATTAGCTGGTTCTTCCTGATGAGGAAGCTGAGGCTCCACGACGTCATGTTTGGGACTTCCCTGGTGGTCCAGTGGTTAAGACCTCACCTTCCACTGCAGGGGGTGTGGGCTGGATCCCTGCTTGGGGAGATTGGATCCCACATGCCTTGCTGCCAAAAAAGCCAAAACATAAGACAGAAACAATATTGTAACAAATTCAATTCAGACTTTAAAAATGGGCCATGTCAAAAAAAAAAAATCTTTAATTAAAAAAGAAAAAAAAGTCATGTAAGTTTGTCTCAAGGTCCACAGCGGAGTGACGGAGCCGGAAGTGAACCCCCGGAAGCACTCCATCCCCAAAGCAGGAAGGAGTCCCCTCCTCCTCCTCCTCACATCCTGCCACAGGGCCCTCTGAGTCCTGAGCTACCTTCCCTGCCCTCACACCCGCAGCATGACCACAAGGCCCTGGTGGCCACTCCCGATGCCCCATCTGCTTTCCAACCCCTCTCCCTTCACCCCCTTGGTTTTCCCCACCAGGGTCCCCAAGAGTATCTCAGAGGGACCAGCCCTGTTTCCATAAGGATGGTTTTCTCTTGCTGGCATTTCTCTTGCTAGCACTGCAGAGCTGATGATGACACTTGATTCTAAAGATACCAGTTCCTTGTGAAAGATGCCAAGAATACAAAAGCACGTAGAGTCAAACTGTCCTTCCCCTCTCGTATCTCCTCCACCCCTAGATTTCCCAGAGACAGCCACTGTGCTTGCTGTGTGTCCTCACATGTTTTTATGCCTATGAAAAGACAGAGGTAATTTACACAGCAGGATCAAACTACACTCCATTTGCCTCCCTCTCCCCCAGTCCTCTCCTCTCTATCCTTCTGTGCCCTGTTCTGTGTCTGGGAGGCTGCTGGGCAGTGCCCTGGCTCCTATGGGGTGGGTTTGGGGTGGGTCGGCCAGCAGAAGGCCCTGACAGCAGATGGAAAGACAGGATGAGAAGGAGGCCTAGGTATTTCCTCTCTTCTGCTGTCCTCCTGCTTCTGCTCTGCCCCTCTGGGGTTCTCAAAGTGGCTGGACTCCCTGAGGCCACCAGCTATGTTGGCCTTTCTTGAAAGCCCAGCTTTCTCTGGGCTCAGTAATTTTGGGCCTCCCCTTGTTCCTTGAGGTCCAGACAGGGAAGTGACTTCCTGCTGACCCTGCCACTTGGGCAGTTCACAACCTCTGCTGGTTCTCTTACCCTTACCCAGGACCACACCTGTCCCCTTCGTGACATCACCTTCACGCTTTTGTGCCCTTTGCAACATGCCCTCTGCTTGTGGATGGAGCCCTGTGACTCATGTGCCATCTGGGGACCTCTCTGCCCCTTGGCACTATATCATGAGCAGCTTTTCAATATCTGTACTTACATATATATTATTTTAAAAAATTATTTATCTGGTGCTCAGGCTCTTTGTTGTGGCATGCAGACTTCACTCTAGCTGTAGCCCGCGAGCTCCAGAGTGTGTGGCACGCTCGGTATTTGCAGCATGTGGCCTTAGCTGCCCGTTGGCATGTGGGATCTTAGTTCCCTGACCAGGGATCAAACCCAAGTCCCCTGCACTGGAAGGCAGACTCTCAACCACTGGACCACCCAGGAAGTCCCTACATATCTGTTCCTAAAGCATGCCTGGTGCCTCTTCCTGGGAAGATCACAATCTAGATCTTGAGACCAAACATGAACAGTGACCAGCTAGCGAGATGCATGTATTGGTAAAGGCAGTGGCGGCGAGGCCTGTGGGGGACATGAGTCAGTTGTCACGACACAGACCAGCGGGGCAGCCTGCCGACTGACCCCTGTTATCCCCACGGACCACAGTCAGTTTCCTCCACGTCCCACTGATGGATGCCTTGGTCTCATCCACAACTTCACTCCTCCAAACAAAGCTGCAACCTTCTGGTACCTACATCTTGTGCCTTTGTCCTAACATAGTTGGCAAGGATTTCCCAGATGTGGGACTGTTGAAAACAGGTGAGAGTGGATTTAAAATTTGATAGGTTTAATTCATGATAATGAAGGAGCACCTCTTCCCAGGGAGGCTATGCAAGATGAAGTCACAGCTTATTTGCCCTGTAGGGAACTGGAGGAAGGCTTGTCAGGGGTAGGGCTTCATGAGAGCTGAGTCCCTCCAGCCTTCGTTAAACTAAAGCCCCGTCACACATTTCTCCTTTTATTTAAAGTGGTAGGACTTCCCTGTGGTCCAGTGGTTAAGGATCCACCTGCTCATGCAGGCGACATAGGTTCGATACCTGGTCATGCTGTGGGGCAGCTAAGCCTGTGCACCACTACTGCTGAAGCCCCGGGACATACAGCCTGTGTTCGGCAACAAGAGAAACTGCTGCAACGAGGAGCCCATTCACAGCAACTAGAGGGTGGTCCCTGCTCTCCACAACTAGAGAAAGCCCTTGCCCAGCAACCAAGGCCCAACACAGCCAAAAATAAATCAATAAAATTTTAAATATTTTTTAAAAAATAAAATAAAGTGGCAATAATGTGATTGACCCACCACCACCTCCCCTACATTCTATGACCATCTTTCTTCCAAGGAACTTTGGAGCCAATAAAAGAATGTTACAATCAAATAGAGATTTTTAAAAAAATGAGATCTAAGAGAAAAGCCTGGAAGCAATTACTGCTTCAGCCTTTCTGGTGCTTCAGTTTGAGTTGATAGTTAAAGAGCACCTAGTTTGTGCTCGCTTTGAGCTAGTGCTGGGAAAACGTGAATGGATACTATGCAGGCTCTCCATGCCCTGAGGAGTTTGCAGTCTGGGAAGAGGAGAGAGGGAGTTAAAACAGTGGTTTCCAGCTCTATCAGGGGACCTGTCACCTCAGCATCATCTCAGAGCTTTTCAACAACAGAGATCTCAGAGGCCCACCCTGGGGGTTTTCCTCTCAGCAGGTCAAGATGGGGTTCAGGACTCCTACGATGACTGATGTTCAGGGCAGGGTGTGAGTTGCGGCTATGACATATCTTCATGGGCAAATGATGTGGTCACTTGTATAATGTAGAGAAGGCAGAGCTGCATGGCCCCAGGGCCAGACTTGGTGTTTTGTGTGACCTAGAGTTTGGGCTTGTGCATTTCAAAAAATTAAATTAGTTTCCAGCCTCTAAAAATCAGATCTCTCCTTAAACTCTGGGTGTCAACTGTTTGAAAATTCTAACTTGGCTCCTACACTTGGCCTCTTAGATGGGACATCTGTTCCCCCGTGTCATGGTCCCCAGCCCTCCCTAGGGCCTGTTTCATGACGTCATTTGAGAGAGAAGCTGCGGTCAACATATAGACAAAGCTGCAGGATGCTGCGAACATCCTACAGTAAGCAAGCCCATCCCCCACAGGGGAGCGTTGTCCTGCCCGATGCTGGCAGTGCTGCAGATGAAGGAGCCCATCTTTTCTTTCTCTGGACATCTGTAATGCTACCCTATGAGAACAGTTATGACTTTCATTTGGGGGGTCAGACAAAGCCTCAGGAACAGGTAGACTCTTGAAGGGCGAGGGAGAGGGTGTTCCAGTCAGCGGCAGCCTTGAACAGAGGTAGGGGAAAGCGAGTCCAGAGTATGGTGATTGTCGAGTAATGGGGAATGACCTGGTTTGCCTGGCCGGTAGAGAAAATCATGCCCGGATAGTCGGGCACAGCTGTTCAGGGCGATGTTCTCAGCATGTGCATGGGATGCAGATCCTTATGGCTGTCCATCAGGATAATATTCCAGCTCTCTCTCCCTCCAGTACATGGTAGGATTATATTTTCTGCCCAGATGAAGTCGAGGCTGGCCATGTGACTTAAGTTAGCCATTGAAAAGTGAGCACAAGTGGTGAGTATTCCCTGCTGGGTGGAAGGAAGTATTAATGCTTCCTATCACTCTTTTCTTTCCTTCTGTCATATGACCCTCAGTGGTCCACACGGCAGCTGCTTCATCAGCCTGGAATCCTGAACCACAAGGAGTGGGGACCCTGCCAGCCTACAGTGGACAAGGGTAAGAAATAACCTTTATATTTTAAAGTTTGAATATTATTTGTTACTCCTGCAGAATGTTCCTATCCTTGGCTAACTTAGATGGAAATCCCTGTGGTACCTGAGATGACAGGAGATGGTCTGCAGAGATGGCATGAAATTGTGTTACACACCTCAGTGAGAACACGCCTCCCTTTTTACCTCTTTGAATCGCACCAAGGAGTAAGTCTCAGAGTGGGAACAGTGTCTCTGCCACCTGTTCAATACATCCTATGCTCTCTTTTTAACAGAGGGCACGGATGCAGGTTTCTATTTATAGCTGAAGTTTCTTAGTGTAGTTTTAAAATCGAATTTAATTTGAGGGTTGCCTTCTATGTATGGTAAGGGATTATAGTTTTCCATTTATGGAACTGATATAAAACTTTTTTCAATGGTAAGTAAAGAGAGTAAATCGCTTGAAAGACATATAAAGCCAATAAAACACAGGTGGCACACATTTATGGCTGAAATTATAAGGATGGTTTACAGATGATTGAAGTTGAGAGAGAAGAGCTCACGGTATGTGGTGAAATGTCTTGCAGAGGTGAGAGGGGTCTGCAGGGGGGTCTGTGCAGGCAAAGGTGGTAACCCATAGCAACAGATAGGACACTGATGATGACATTTCCGGGCATTTTGCCTAACAACGACGTGAAAGCAGCTGTCACAGAATTCAGGGGGCCTCTGTACCACCCAGGGCCTGGTGCACAGTGGCTGCCCAGCCACCGTTTGGTGAATGAGTGACAAGTAAGTATTCTTAACTGGGTGTGCTGAGAGTGTTGGGAAGGCCTTTGCTCTGCTCAGCAAGCAGCAGAGCTTCTGGGGGTCTCAGCAGAGCGCTAAACTAGCTCTGCAAGCACGACAGTATGGATCCTTGGGCCTGGGGTTGGTGGGCGGGAGGAGGAGCCACAGAGGCCGTGGACCAGGAGGGAAGGTGGGGGCGAAAGGGTGGAATCTCAGTGGTGTGAACACGGCAGCTGCTTCATCAGCCTGGAATCCTGAACCACAAGGAGTGGGGACCCTGCCAGCCTACAGTGGACAAGGGTAAGAAATAACCTTTATATTTTAAAGTTTGAATATTATTTGTTACTCCTGCAGAACGTTCCTATCCTTGGCTAACTTAGATGGAAATCCCTGTGGTACCTGAGATGACAGGAGATGGTCTGCAGAGATGGCATGAAATTGTGTTACACACCTCAGTGAGAACACGCCTCCCTTTTTACCTCTTTGAATCGCACCAAGGAGTAAGTCTCAGAGTGGGAACAGTGTCTCTGCCACCTGTTCAATACATCCTATGCTCTCTTTTTAACAGAGGGCACGGATGCAGGTTTCTATTTATAGCTGAAGTTTCTTAGTGTAGTTTTAAAATCGAATTTAATTTGAGGGTTGCCTTCTATGTATGGTAAGGGATTATAGTTTTCCATTTATGGAACTGATATAAAACTTTTTTCAATGGTAAGTAAAGAGAGTAAATCGCTTGAAAGACATATAAAGCCAATAAAACACAGGTGGCACACATTTATGGCTGAAATTATAAGGATGGTTTACAGATGATTGAAGTTGAGAGAGAAGAGCTCACGGTATGTGGTGAAATGTCTTGCAGAGGTGAGAGGGGTCTGCAGAGGGGTCTGTGCAGGCAAAGGTGGTAACCCATAGCAACAGATAGGACACTGATGATGACATTTCCGGGCATTTTGCCTAACAACGACGTGAAAGCAGCTGTCACAGAATTCAGGGGGCCTCTGTACCACCCAGGGCCTGGTGCACAGTGGCTGCCCAGCCACCGTTTGGTGAATGAGTGACAAGTAAGTATTCTTAACTGGGTGTGCTGAGAGTGTTGGGAAGGCCTTTGCTCTGCTCAGCAAGCAGCAGAGCTTCTGGGGGTCTCAGCAGAGCGCTAAACTAGCTCTGCAAGCACGACAGTATGGATCCTTGGGCCTGGGGTTGGTGGGCGGGAGGAGGAGCCACAGAGGCCGTGGACCAGGAGGGAAGGTGGGGGCGAAAGGGTGGAATCTCAGTGGTGTGTATGGGGGGGGCGGTTGGGAAGGACTACAGAGAACAGACCTTTCCCCTCTGAGTTTGTTAGTGCCTTCTGCCTGCTCCCCCCAGCACAATAGATGAGTTCCACACATGCATGGACATAGCTCAGCTCCAGCTCTGCAAAAGAGAAGAGGGGATTGCAGAAATGAGGGAGAGGTTGAGGCTTTCTGAGCCCTGGAACTGTTAGGTACAAGGTACTTCTGCTATTATGCCAGGAATTGATGAAGCTGCCTTCTGGGTTATAGGTGAGTGAGTGAGTGTATGATGGTGACTCATGTACCTGAGGATGGGACATCTAGAGACACTGTGTCTGCAATGAATAGTGAGTAGCATCTCTAATTTCCCAAAGGGGCTGTAACATATTCCATCCTCTGCACTCTTCTACAATGAGACTGGATGCTCTTCCTACAGTAGAGGTAGTATCTGTGTCTCCTCCCCTTATGTATGTGTGGGATTGTGGTGGCTCTGATCAGCAGAATAGGGCAAAGAGTCCTATGTAGCTTCTGAGGCTACGTCCTAAAGGGTCGTGTTCTTCCTTGTTGTCTGGGATGCTTGTGCTTTGACCCTATGTTACTATGTAAAGGGTAGGACCACTCTGAAACTGCCGTGTGTGAGAAAGCCAAGCCCCATGGAGTGGCCCCATGAAGGCGTTCTCGTCTGGAGGCTTAGTCTTCAAGTTAACCCAGTCCAGACACTTTGGCAATTTTATTCCCCAGCTGCAAGCCACCTCTGGGCCTTGTATCTCCCCAGCTGAGGTCCCAGGACTCAAGGAGCTAACCCTGAAGTGTTGTTGTTCAGTCGCTTAGTTGTGTCCAACTCTGTGACCCCATGGACCACAGTATGACAGGTTTCCCTGTCCCTCACCATCTCCTGGAGTTTGCTCAAACTCATGTCCGTTGACTCGATGCTATTCAACCATCTCATCCTCTAGTGCCCCCTTCTCCTCCTGCCTTCAATCTTGCCCAGCATCAGGGTCTTTTTCAATGAGTCAGCTCTTCACATCAGGTGATCAAAGTATTGGAGCTTTGAGCTTCTGCATCAGTCCTTCCAATTAATATTTAGGGTTGATTACCCTTAGGATTGGCTGGTTTGATCTCCTTGCAGTCCAAGGGACTCTCAAGAGTCTTCTTCAAAACCACAATTCAAAAAGCATCTATTCTTCGATGCTCAGCCTTCTTTATGGTCCAACTCTCACATCCATACATGACTACTGGAAAAACCATAGCTTTGACTATATGGACTTTTGTTGGCAAAGTGATGTCTCTGCTTTTTAATATGCTGTCATAGTTTTTCTTCCAAGGAACAAGAGTCTATTAATTTCATGACTGCCATCTATTAATTTCATTAATTTCTATTAATTTCATGATTTTGGAGCCCAAGAAAATAAAGTCTGTCACTGTTTCCACTTTTTCCCCATCTATTTGCCATGAAGTGATGGAGCTAGATGCCATGATGATGCTCTCATTGAATTCCTGACAAGGGAATACAGGAGCATAATCAAATGGCTGTTTCAATTTGCTAAATATTGGGGTAGCTGCTGACTGAAACACTGACTGAATGCTGCTCATCTCTGAACCCTCAGCTCACAGACTAGGCTTGGGCAACACAGGCTTAGTTGAGTAAGTGAGTGAGGGCACAGTTTAAAAAAATGAGCATGTGCCTTTAGAGCTCTGCTCAAGAATAGATTTCTCTTCATCATTCAACTGTGTGTTCATACAAAAAGCAGGATACTGAGGCTTTAATAGCAGAACCAGGAAACAGCACTTTTCCCAAAGAGAATCTGATGTTACTTGCTGTCTGACAAATTAGCTTTTCTGGTTGGTTGGCAACTTTGGTAGGAATGGGAAGCACAGAGGCCAGTGCAAGGAGGGAAAGGGAGGCATATGCAGAACTGAAGTGGGCGGGAGAGGCATTTTACTGGATCAGTTGTGTCACTTCCCACCAAAGCAAGCGAAGGCCTGCACTGCATCTTTTAGAGGCACGCCATTGACCAAAGTGCATCAAAAAGTGCTCTAACTCATTCTAGCCCCACATCCCCACCCAGCTGTTGGGGAAGAATTTGCTCCTAGTGCAGTCTACATTCGTTTAAGTCCCTGTCCTAGATGAAGGCAGTATGTTGGCCTAGACTTTTTCAAATGCTGTTCAGTGGGGTTCCTTTGATTTGCCCCCAAGTTGCTTTGCAGTTGCCGTTAAAAATTCATAACTGTGAGAGAGGATTTATAAGGAGCCAGGAGTTTGTCTACCTGGACAACATTGGTAGGCAGTGTCCAGCTGAGGCTGTCATCTCCTGGCTGAGAAGGCGTCACATTGCATTCAGAGGCAGGCCAGCTCCTTTCAGCATAGGGCCACGCCTCTGATTTAATAGCAGAGTCATTGCATCGTGGGGTCTCACTGCCCTTGAAGGTTTCCCTGACATGTGACCTAAGAGATGCCAGGAACACTTGCTGACTACAGCCTGGCAGGGATCGCTGAAGGAGGCAAAATTGTGTGGTGGGGAGGGGATTGCTCTGTGAGAATTCCACATGGCAAATCAACTGAGAAAGCCCTCTGTCAACCAGAGCCTTGGGAAAAGAGTCCAGTTCAGCTACTCCCTTTTAACTAAAAGGATGGTAAGTTGTGAGTTTCTCAAAGTGGAGAAGTAGGCAGCTAGCTCCTTTCACATAACCTGAACCCTCAATCTCAAGATGTAGTTAATGCTGAAAAATGTGTCAGCTGGAGCCCCCAGAGGCAAGTTGTGATGCTACAGCCTAGCTCTATTGGATGTTGTGTCGCAGGGATCCCCAATCCCCGGGGCCATGGACCACTATTGGTCCATGGCCTGTTAGGAACCTCTGCTCACAATAGGAGGTAAGTGGAGGGTGAGCAAGTGAAGCTTCATCTGCATTTGCAGCTGCTCCCCATTACTTGCATTACCACCTGGGTTACACCTCCTGGTAAATCAGCAGCAGCATTAGATTCTCATAAGAGCACAAACCCTAACCCTAAAGTCAAGGTGGAATATTCTGAGATCACCACAAAATAGAAATAAAATGCACAATTGATGTAATGCACTTGAATCATCCTGAAACCATTCCCTACTCCCCTAGTCCCTGGAAAAATTGTCTTCCATGAAACCCGTCCCTGGTGCCAAAAAAGTTGGGGACTGCTGCTGTACCATACAAAAAAAAAAAAAAAAAAAACCNGAATTTTTTAAAATATACATATATAAATATTTGTTGGCATAATTTGTTTTATAAGGAGGTAATACAAGTTCCTTTGAAGAGGAGACAGAAATCATTAAATTGTATACAAGAAGATGGAGAAAACTATATTAGAGGAATTCCTCTTGGAAAAAATTGTGTGTGTCAAGGAAAGGAATTCTCTGATAAGCTTCTTTGGTTGTGGAGTGAGACTCCAGAGGCCATGCTCCAGGAGAAGTAGATGATCTTTAACCTGCCTGCTAAGGAGGGGGGATCCTGTTAACTGATCTGGCTGGGGCAGACATGTCTGAGAGCAGAGCTGCATTTCTGGACCCAACAGGAAGGAGACAGGGCCTTTGCAGGAGGGTTTAGAAGAGGACTATTATCAGGGGCAGCAGGAGAGATAGGCCCTTGAGGGGGCAGACATGTCTAATGAGGAATGGAGGAAGTGTGATGTGAGGGGTTCGGGGTACCCTCTCTCCTGCATTACCCCTTTCGGAAATCTGGTTGGATTCTTTGTGGAAAATGGATGAGTGGTGAGAGCCTGGGTTTCCTGGGTTCCAAACAAAATCTTGGGTTGAAGGGGATTTTGAGAGGCCATCAAGCCCATTCCCACCCAAAGGAGAAGCCCCTTCCCTGACACCCCTCCTCCGCCACACCCCACGGGAGGCATGAGCGGTCTGGTTCAGCCATGTGCAGGACAGCGAGCTCACTTCTTCAGGAGGCAGACAGGGCCAGTGAGGAGCTGCCTGTTTTGGGTTTGCTGTCCTTGTTTGATTCAGAGGAATAGCAAATAAGCAAATGACTACATTTTGTGGTGGGGAGGGATGGGCATAACCGTAAAGTCACAATAGCTCCTGGGAAGAGCATTCCTACTGGTGCCAAGTACCTCCCTTATATTATCTTACCGGAGCCTTACGGGAAAGTCATTTCTTTTGTTTTGAGATGAAGAAATTGAGATCCTGCAAGCCCAGCTGGTCTACCTGAGGTCACACAGCTTCATCAAGGAGAAGCAAGAATTTGAGCAAGGTGTCTCTGAGCTTTTCACCAAATCTCTGTTTCTTCCCTGTTGATCTTACTGGGAAGTCACCCTCCTACAACACTTGTGAGAAGACACTTGTTTTGCAAAGTGATGGACTCCACCTCAGTCTGATGATGGTCTCTCTGTCTCAAGAGGAGCAGAGAGAACTTCCAAGGGGATCAAATCATTTGCAAAGGAAACTTGGAGAACAAATAGGCTCGGAGAAACTTAGAAAAGAATGGGGATTATTTCGCTTGGAGAAGGCTGGTTATATAATGGGTCTTCAGGTTTATGAAAGACTCTTAGAGACAGTGGCTACCAGCTGTTCTTCATCACTCTGGGCCAGAGAGGAGGAAATAGGCTTAAGCAGCAGCCTGAGGGTGTCTATATGGAAGAATTTCCTGCCCCTCAATGGGTCAGTGAAGGGAAAAAAAAAAGAGCAGGCCTTTTTTTCTGAGGACACCAAATGGAGAACAGAGTCATCTTGGTTTGTGTGGGCTTTTTAGAAGCCAATATCTGCTTTACTGATCAGGTTCACCGGGTGTGTGTCTTAAGATTTTGTCTCTAGTAGCACTCAGGGCCAGAGAGCTTTATTGTGGGGTCCCTTGGGGATTTCTCTGATGTAGCCTCAGTGGAGATATGCCCCCATTATTGCCAGAACCCCTTAATAATGACTCATCTTGCCAAGCTCCAGGGCATTATGCATAAGTGTGTGCCAGGGCTCTGAGCCACTGGTTCTGACCCTGGCAGTTTCCTGGTCCCTAGAGCTGGGGTTCAGAGCATCTCTTGGGATTCTGGGGAGGGGGGAACGAAATCATCTTTGTGTAGGTCTAGCAGAGAACCTGGCATACAGTTGGTACTCAACCAATGAGTCTCATATATGTACACCTGAAACTAACCCAACATTGTAAGTCAGCTATACCCCGATATAAAATAAAAATTAAATTTAAATGGCAACCCACTCCAGTATTCTTGCCTGGAGAATCCCAGAGACGGGGGAGCCTGATGGCTGCCGTCTATGGGGTCGCACAGAGTCAGACACAACTGAAGCGACTTAGCAGTAGCAGTAAGCAAAAAAAAAAAAATTGCTTTCTGCTCCCACTACCCAAGTTTTAGAGCTTATGTGAAGTCTAAATACACTCTGCTTTTTAACAGTAAAATTATTTGATTTTGAGTTGATGAGTTTTGCAAGATCCCTCTGTTGGACCTGGTCAAAGATTCAGGGACACAACTTAAATTCTTGGTGTGGGGATTTGGTGATAGAGCTCATATTTACCCTCACCACAACCCTCATAACATTATTGATCTTGGGTTTCTGCTCTTAGCCCAGATCTTTCCAGACCAAAATGCCTAGGGGTCCATTAGAGGCCACCCTTGCCTGACTTTCCAGCCAGTGTGGCTCAGTCCCTTCCAGGTCTCCAGTCTTCTTTAGATACAGAAACAGAAAGGCTTCAGATTATTTTAGATCAGGCTGGGTTCCAACCCCAGCTCACTCACTGACTTGATCTGTGGCCTTGGACAAGACATGCTATCCTCCCAGACCTCAGTTTCCTCATCTGTAAACTTGAAATGAAAATCCTGCATCCTATCACGTGGATGGAATCAAATAGGGTATGCAAAGCACCTGGCCCAAGGTTTTGTATGCAACTGCCAAATGAACATTGAGATTAGGGTCATGATGCAATGATTATTTCAATGATTGTTTCTAACTCTTGGCCATACGCTAACCTCTCGGGAGCACTTCTTGGGTTCATCAGACTCTGGAGCTCTACCAGACAGCCTGAATTGGCATATCCAGGGACCCTCTTTTCTCCTCTCTCCAAGTCCCTTCTCTGCTCACACAGAAGGAACACCCTGTCTTTGGCAGAAGGGCTAGGGAGGGAGCTTCTGTAACCTCCTCTGTGACCTTAGTTTCCCTAGATCTGCTAATCTGATTGGCCAGAGCAGTTGCCAGGAGACTGGGGTCACTGATGACTTACTAGGCACGTGTTCAGCTGGGCCTCTGGCTGGTGCCTTCAGATTCCCACACAGCCTTTCCAGCATGCCAGCCTTGGAGGGCAGGGTGATGGTGGTGGTTATCAGATGCTTACTTAGCTGCTAATCAAGCATGGTTTCTCAGCTTGGGCACTATTGACATTTTGGGTGGGATCCGTGGCATACATCATAGGATGTTGAACAGCTTCCCTGGCTTATACCCATTAGATTTTGGGGAGTTAGCTCTTCCTACCTTAGCTGTGACAGCCAAAACTGTCTCCAGACATCCAGACACTGCCAGGCATCCCCACCTCAGCAGGGGGGAAGAGGGGAAGGGAAATTCACTCCAGGCTGAGAGCCACTGAATGAAGGTGAGGCATTGAACCAGGTTTCGGTAAGGAGACTGTATCAGAGGTTTGGATCGTGAGTCTGTGAGTGTGTGTGGGCGGGCTTTGCTGTGTCCGACCCTTTTGACCCCGGTGGAGTGTAGCCCACCAAGCTCCTCTGTCCGTGGAATTTTCCAGGCAAGAATACTTGCGTGGGTTACCATTTCCTTCTCCTGGGCATCTTCCTCACCCAGGGATGGAACCTGGGTCTCCTGTACAGGCAGTCAAATTCTTTGCCTCTGAGCCACCAAGGACTCAAAGGCTGGGAAATTTTATTCCCACTAACCCTTAAAGTCTTCAGTGGTGCTCTAGTTGGCTAAGTGAGAGAACTTCTTTAGTTTTTTCATAGAGAGAGAGAAATAGAGCAAGAAATCAAGCAAAAGGAAGAAAGACCAAAAGGGGAAACCGAGGCAGGGGCCAGTAGCAAGTGACTTCCATGAAATTCCCAAGAGCGCTGGGTGTGCAGGAGCAGTGGGGCTGGCAGGGCCGGGCAGGGCTGCCCTGGGCCTGGGTAAATATACTCTTTGGGATGGAAGGACTGGCAGGTAAATATTAGTGACCATCTACCTCCACAACAGCTCCTGGAGTGACTGAAGTGCGGGAGAGGACACACCGTCCCTTGTACTGAAACCACATATTTGTCTCCCTCTGTCTCCCTATCCAGCCAGTCACCGCACACTGCCCTGTCCCATCCTCCCCTGCCCAGACCCTCTGCCCTGGGTCATCCACCGGTGCCAACCAATCTAGTCTGCTCCAGGTCCTCCGCGCCGGTGCTGGAACCCAGGCGCGTGGAGACAGAGGGAAAAGGAAATGAAACTCCCCAGCACTGAGCCATTGCGAATAATCCCTGCCTTTTCAAAGGCCGCCTTCGCCTGGTGCCAAGGCAAGAACTGTCTGTCTCGCCACCTTTCAGTTCTTGTTAAAAAGCAGAAGGCATGTCAGGGCCGGGCCGGGCCACGGCACAGAGAGGACTTTCTTTGCAGTGCTGGACGAGACTCAGTGCTTTAGTGAAAGCTCTTATTAGCCCCAGCTGGCGTCCCATTTTCCTGAGCTGGAATAAAAAATTGCCTCGGTCATCCTTTCCCAGGCTAATTTCAAAAGCATAATTACCATCATCATAATTGATTGCTATTTATTTTGGTCATTAATAGTCATACACCCCCTTGTTCCATGTGGATTAAATGGTCCGAGAATATTTATGGCACGTGGCAGCCGTATTCCTTCTTCTTCATTCCACACATCCCCTCCCCCATCCCTTTTCATGGTAACCCCTTGATTTCATGACACCCAGGGAATCCTTTTCAGGCTTTCATGTTCAAACTCCTAAGCCATGGTGACTGATGAGAGCTGGGATGAAAAACGACGGGTTCAAAAAAGACACGGAGAGAGTGTTATCTTGGATAAAATTAAAGGGCAAGAAGTGGGCATAGCCTCCAAGCTTGTATTGGAAGTGGGAGGCTAGAGAGGGAGTGGAGGGGAGATGAACAATTACGAGATTATTGTTTCTTCTCTCTTTTGAAGGAGGCAGTTACCAAGCCTCTGTGGGCAGTTGGTTTGGGAAGAGAATTGGTATTTTCTGCCTTCAAGACAGCTTGAGAGCTGCCTGCATGTGACCACAGAAGGATCCTAACATCCCCCCAAACATTCAGACCATGAACACAGGCTCCCATGTTGCCAAACTCTTAAGACTACATCAAATGAAAGTCCCAGAGGAGGTAAGTTTCACTCACACCTACTCTTGAGTTGGGGCCGTTTTACTTCCATGTTGTCCTACCCACTGTTAGGCAGTTAGAGCTCCTGAAAGGCTCTAGAGATTACAAAAAAATAAAAAGACCAAAAAAGCAGGCTTAAAAGCCTTAAATTCCCCCAAAGGGATTGCTCAGACATTTCCTGCCTCCAGCTGAGCAGACATGCTGGGTCCAGGTGGGGATCTGACTCAGGCTAAGGCACAGGTAATACCCACGTCCAGCCATCCTGCTCCTTGATGAGTAGAATGACGGACACTATGCTCAAATCATACATCAGAGCCCTTTTGTAAAACCAATTACCTTACAAGTCAGTGCCTCCTTGATGTTGGAAGTTGTAGGAACCATTCACTGAGAATCCTTCCTCCACCACCTGGATGAAACTAGCCCATGGTGGGAGAGATTCGGTCAATACTCAGAGAGAAGTCCGTTTCAGAGATGCAGAGAGAGTCCTGGTAGCATTTGAGACCCTGCTTCCAGTTATCCCTGAAACCTGTTCAAGGGACCCTGAGAGGAGCTATACCAGTCGAACCCTGCACAACTCCAGGAAGTGCCTTGTGCTAGAGGCCCCTGGGGTTGTGCAGTGTGCAGCTTGCACAACCATCCATGGCGACCCATCAGGCAGCACTGCTGCCCTTTCTTCACTTCTCTTGGAGATACTCCAAGCCGCTGTTATTAAACTTCTCTTTTTGCCAAATCCATCTGGAATTGGATTTGTGCCACTTAAGCCAAATGAGATCTAAATGATCGTAATTGTCTCCAACCACAAAGGAAAAAAATAGATGTAATCTCCCCTGTCCAACCCAGCTTATTCTAGATAGCAGGAGAGAAGTACCTCTCTTTCTGAGCTGTGAATTCTCAATTTGCTGGGCCTTCAGGGAATCAGAGGAGGAGAAAGGAAGAATAGAGGCAAAGCAGCACCCCTACCCCAGGAGCAGTCCTGGGGTGCCAGGCCTTGCAGGTTGCCAGGCATACAGGAGGCGCCTGAATGCAAACAGTTTCCGGAAGGTCTTTGGTCTGGCTGCATGGCAGCAGCTGCACAGATCCCTAATGGGCGTCAGTGTCAACGCAGACTCAACATTTTCCAGGGGGAACGGGGCTGAGACGAAGCTGTGCTCAAGCCAGACAGCGCTCCGGAGGGGTGGGGGGATGCGGAGGGAAAAGGAAGGTTGCCAGGTAGAATAGCTGCACGTCCAGCCTGGGGGAAAGATAATGAGGAAGAGTCTTGAAGAGGCTTTCAATTCAGAATTCCCGCATTCCACCCGTTTCAGCTCTTGAGTCTCTCTAGTCAAATATGTAGACACTTAATTTCAGGAATGAACAATAATTAAAGGATTTTTTTTTTTAAGGGAGCAGGGTAAGAGGAACACTGGCAGATTTCTCACTAAGAAGGCCGAAAGAAGAGAATTCAAAAAATCTGAAGGAATGTAAATAAGTGTTCTACAAAGAGACATGGGTGGTGCCGTGGGATTAGCATGGATTTTGAAATCAGCCTGATTTGGGTTCATGTCCTGACTCTGTGAAACTGTAAAAAGCCACCCCAATTCTGGAAGCATCACTTTCCTCATTAAAATAGACATAATAGTACCTAATGTGTATGGGTGTATGATCAGACACAAGAAATAAATATTCATTAGGACCACAGAGCTAGTGTCTCCCAGGAAGATAGTGCAGTGCAAGAATGTGAGCTGTTGGGTTTTGTTTAGTTGTTACTTTTTTCCCCTTACTCCATTTCTGACACATGCTAGGATTGTATATGCATCTTTTCTAATACAATTCAGTTCTCTGCTTTCATCCTCAGACCAGATATTTTTGGAAATACGTAACATAGTCCACTTGATCATAGAGGAACCTAAACTCATAGGCCTTCCAGGATGCTTGCCACCACTGTTTGAATTTTTTACCTCATCCCTGTCATACTCACCAACATCTTGCCTCTTAAGGGTATCCTTTTGGTTTTGCTTTGCTATTGCTGCATTCAGCTTTTTCTCACTGCCCTTTGTATTGGTTATCTATTGTAATTTGCATAACAAATTACACCAAAACTTAGTGGCTTAAAATAAGAAGCACATGTTAACTGATGGCTTCTGTGAGTTAGAAATGCTGGCACATCTGAGAAGTTCTAAGTCAGTGTTTTGTTAGGTGTAGGCAGATGTTGGTCCAGGTTTTAGGCAACTGAAGTCCTGTCCCAAGGGTCGAGGATGGAAGGGAGAGTGAGCATACAGCAAGTCCCAGTGCCTTTTAGAACCTAATCGCCAAAATTGCACAGTGTCACCTCCACTTGATTTTGTTGTTAGAAGTGAATTACTAAATGCAATCCATATTCAAGGAGAAGTAAATGAGTCCGCTTCTTGAAGAGAGTAGCAAATGATCTGTGGGCAGTTTAAACCACCACATCTAGCTTAGTCATCTTTCAGGATTTTAGTCTTCCTTTTCAGGATTTTAAGGCTTATTTTTCCACAGAAATATTACACCCTATTTCCATGGTGTAACTGGCTGAATGGTGGCCCCTAAGGATATAAGGTTATTCTAGCATGTTCCTGGAACCTGGGACTGTTACCTCAAATGTAAAGTTTTTGTAGATGTGATTAGATTAAGGATTTTATAATGAGATTTTTCTGAATTATCTGGGAAGATCTTAAATCCATCACAGGTGTCCTTTTAAAAAAATTTATTGAAGTATGGTTGATTTACAATGTTATATTAATTTCTACTTATAGCAAAGTGATTCAGTATCTTCTTTTTCATATTCTTTTCCATTATGGTTTATCACAGGATACTGAATATGGTTCCCTGTGTTATACCCCAGGACCTATGTAACAGCTTGCATCTGCGAATCCCGGACTCCCAATCCATCCCTCCCACTACACCCCTTGCCCCCAACAACCACAAGTCTGTTCCCCATGTCTGCATCACAAGTGTCTTTATAAGAGAGGAAGAGAGAGACACGGAGGAGGACAAACCGATGTGAAGGGAGAGATGAAGAGGGGAGTGATGCAGCCACAGGCCAGGAAATGCCAGCACCCACCATAATAGAAAAAGCAAGGAACAAGTCTCTCCTGGATTCTGTCCTGGAGAGACCGTGGGCCTTGTGGACACCTTGATTTCATCCCAGGGGCACTGATTTCAGACTTCTGGCCTGCAGAACTGTGAGACAGTAAATTTCTGTTGTTTCAAGCGGCCCAGTTTGTGGTAATTTGTTATAGCAGCCACAGGAAACTGGTACACATGGGTTTCCTTCATCCAGCCAATACATATTTAATATGGATCTTTTATTAAGTTTCAGCCACTATGCTAGGTCTTGGGTAAACAGCGGCTTAAAAGAAACCCTAATGTGGCGACTGCCACCTAGACTTCTGTTCTAAACCCCAGAACCCTACCTACTAAATATCTTCACCTTGACCTCCCATGGCCTGTAAGGCTTACAGATGAAATTTGCCCAGCTAAGCTACTTTTCTTCTCACCCTTCACCCTTTCCCTGGTTCTGGTTTATGGGCTCAGCATCCACCCAGATACCCAGATAAGGAAACTCAGCTTTGATTCCACTGTCAACACCTACATTCAGTCTCAAGTCCTGTGGAGTCTACCTTAGAGGCCTCTTAATTCAGTCATTTATGATTTCTTACCTAGAGGATCTCAGCAACTTCTTGTAATAGGTGATTTATAATGAGAAGTAGACCTTTGGGCTTCATCCAGGCTCCTGGGACAGGAACCCTTGGAATTTCAGAAGTGAAAAGAAGGATGAAGATGCAAACAGTGTCTTTTGTTATTCATAACAGGCTCCTTTCAGTCACATCAGAGTTTATGTTAATGAAGTGACTTTTAGAAAATCCCTAAGAATGGGGGCTGATTGTTTAGGAAACCAACTAGGATTAGAGGTTTGGAATTTATAGCCCAACCTGCTGACCTCTTGGGAGGGGAGACGGACTAGGGGTTGAGATATACATGATGGTCAATGGTTTAATCATGATCATGCCTTCATGATTATACAGTGAAGGTGATGAATAGATTCAAAGGATTAGATCTAGTAGACAAAGTGCCTGAAGAACTATAGATGGAGGTTCATAACATTGTAGAAGAGGCAGTAACCAAAACCATCCCAAAGAGAAAGAAATGCAAGAAGGCAAAGTGGTTGTTTGAGAATTCCTTGCAAATAGCTGAGAAAAGAAGAGAAGCAAAAGGCCAAGGAGAGAAAGAAAGATAGCCAACTGAATGCAGAGTTCCAGAGAATAGCAAGGAGAAATAAGGTCTTCTTAAGTGAACAATGCAAAGAAACAGAGGGAAAAAAACTAGAATGAGAAAGACAAAGATCTCTTCAAAAAAGTTGGAGCTACCAAGGGAACATTTCATGCAAAGATGGTCAAAATAAAGACGGAAATGGTATGGACCTAACAGAAGCAGAAGATATTAAGAGTTGGCAAGAATACACAGAAAAACTGCACAAAAAAAGGTCTTAGTAACCAGGATAACCATGATGGTGTGATCATTCACCTAGAGCCAGACTGCTAGAGTGTGAAGTCAAGTGGGCCTTAGGAAGCATTAACTACAATCAAAGTGAGGAGGTGATAGAATTCCAGTTAACTGATTTCAAATCCTAAAAGATGGTACTGTTAAAGTGCTCCACTCAGTATGCCAGCAAATTTGGAAAACTCAATGGCCACAGGAATGAAAAGGTCAGTTTTCATTCCAGTCCCAAAGAAAGGCAATACCAAAGAATGTTAAAACCACTGTAGAACTGCACTCATGTCACATGCTAGCAAGGTAATGCTCAAAATCCTTCAAGCTAAGTTTCAACAGTACATGAACCAAGAACTTCCAGATGTTCAAGCTGGATTAAGAAAAGGCAGAAGACCCAGAAATCAAATTACCAAAATACATTGGATCATAGAAAATGCAAGAGAATTCCAGAAAACATCTACTTCTGCTTCACTGACTATGCTAAAGCCTTTGACTGTGTGCATCACAACAAACTGTGGAAAGTTCTTAAAGAGATGGTAATACCAGACCATCTTACCTGCCTCCTATGAAACCTGGATGCAGGTTAAGAAGTAACAGTTAGAACCAGACGTGGGACAATGGACTGGTTCTAATTTGGGAAACGAGTACGTCAAGGCTGTATGTTGTCACCCTGCTTATTTAACTTACATGCAGAATACATTATGTGAAGTGCCAGGCTGGATAGAATCAAGATTGCCAGGAGAAATATCAACAACCTCAGACATGCAACAAATCCTTTGTTGTTGTTTATTGTGCTCTGTGCACTGCAGGATGCTCAGCAACAGGAATGTTCTTTACCTACTATTAATAGATACCCCTTTCTCCAAGTTGTGAAAGTAAAAAATGCCTTCAGACATTATCAAATTTGATATGTCCTCAGGGGTGGGACCTGACCTGCTTCTTGAGAAACCTGTATGCAGGTCAGGAAGCAACAGTTAGAACTGGACATGGGACAACAGACTGGTTCCAAATAGGAAAAGGAGTACGTCAAGGCTNAGCACTCTTGAAGAAGAATTTTGGGCAAAAGTGAGTTTCAGAGAGCATTATAGGCAACATGAAAATGAGTGAAAATTGACTAGGAGATCTGCAGTTTTCTTATGAGAATAGCAGATACAATTTTGGGGGTACAGAAAGCTAGCTAGAGCAGAGCTGGAGGATTGTCATTGGTAAACAGTTAGATTTAGTCATTTCCAGTAAGCCCAGGCAGACTTAAGTTTAAGGATGACTTAGCTTTGTGACGTGGAAGGATCAAGGCTGTCCTTCATTCTGTGGATCCTGATACATGAAATTACCATAGTCTAACAGCAAAAAGACCCTGATGCTGAGAAAGATTGAGGGCAGAAGGAGAAGGGGACAACAGAGGATGAGATGGTTGGATGGCATCACTGACTCAATGGACATGGGTTTGGGTGGACTCCGGGAGTTGGTGATGGACAGGGAGGCCTGGCATGCTGTGGTTCATGGGGTCACAAAGAGTTGGACACGGCTTAGTGACTGAACTGAACTGAACTGAACAGGGGTGGGAATGTTGGGGAATGTGGCTCCCTTAACTGAGAACAACTGTGTTAAGCTGACTCTAGAGTTTCATCATAAAATACATTAATGATAGAATATACTTATGGTGTAGTGTGCAATTACAAGGCTCTTGATGATTGGCCTGATTTGTGCCTTTCTCTCTCTTATTTTAATTTTTCTTTTTCTAGTTGAAGTTATGAGTATGCATAATTCAACTAGTTCTGCAAGATTTATTAGACAAACAATATTCCTTCCTTCTCCTCCCCTTCCATTTTCCCTTCTCTGGGGCCAATATTTTCAACTCTTTAATATTTATTTCATATCTCTCTATAAAATTGAATTGCTAACTCTGGCTTTTTCAGTTTGCTGCCTTATCTACCAATTTATCCATTGCCTGTGGAAGATAAAGGCTTACCACTACTTTTTTCCTCCATTTCCACCACTTCCCATCTCCCCATTGTCTTCATATATTTATGCTATAATTTTGACTTTATAAGCATTTATTTTTTCTTTTATATGTTTATATATGCCTTGCAGAATGGAGCTATGAACTAATCTTTTGTTTTTC